TTTTATGTGGCTATATCAGCGTACAAGATGTTGATAATATTATCCCACAATGCCATAAGGGTACATACTTTTTTCACGCATCACTTGTATTGTTGGATAATGCTATCAAACTAATGTTAAATGTTGATGACTCAACTGTAACTTTATCATTACATTATTTTGCGTTCCTCTGCTTGACGTTAAGTAAGAATTCAAAAGATAACTAAGTATGTATAAACGTTCTGTTGTTTGTGCCATAGCAGTCGAAATTTAGAATTGAAAGCATAATACATAATAAAGAATATTGACATGACATCACAATTCCCTTTTGTTGTTCATGTTTTTGAGTTAATATTTGAACTTTAGAAGATGAACTCAAAACATTAACTTCATTTAGGACAATGATATTAGGTCAATATTCCCCATTACATATTATGCTTTCAATGCTAGATTACGCCTGCAATAACACAAACAACAGAACGCTTATACAGATTTAGTTATCTTTTGAATACGCAGTCAATGTCGAGAAAAGAGATGTAAAATAATGTTATGGTAAACTTGTAGTTGAGTCATCAACATTTGACATTAGTTTTATATCATTATCCAACGGTACCAGTTATGCGTGAAAAGGTATGTACCCGTATGGGACTGTGGAATAATAGTATCAACGTCTTGCACAACAAAGACGATAACTTGGACAACGTCTATTAAGTAACATGCTTGAGGATACTAACAAAAAGAACGGATATATTACTCCAGACTGTGTATTAGAGTCGGATTGCATGATGACGTTGATGAAACTCAAGATACTGTTGAATTAACATATGTATTTGAGAAAGATGTTTTATAACGGAAACAATTGCCGTTAACATCGGTTACGGGGTTCTTAAATGTTCAACAATCATCCAACACTACAAGAAAGCTACAGCCTTTTTCACACACACTAGAACTATTGGAGCATTTTATCAAACTAACGTGAAGTGTGGATGACTCGAATGCGAGCTTACCGGTATATTGTTTTGCAATCATTTCTTGGAAAATTCAGTAAGAATTTCGACAATGGCCAGGTTTGTGTCAAATTAATCTAATTTACCCTTCTAGCATGTGTATTAGAGAGTTGAAAACATAATATATAAAGAGGACTGTGGGCGAGGGATCATTGATGTCATTGATGTTATTGTTTTTATTTGATGTTGAACTTCTACAATCTGGTGGAGTGGAAAATCAATGGCGAAGATGCTAAGAGCTGAATCGTGTCGGTGTGGTGCGCCGTGTTGGTATCCAAATTAACAAACAAACATCAAATGACACTAATGATGCCACGCCCACAGTCTTCTTTATATATTATGTTTTCAACTCTCTAATAAACTTGCTATAGCATAAAGTAGAGTAATATGACACGCACTTAGTCATCCTCGGGGACGATGAACTCAATTTAAAGTGATGTGAATGCATAACAATATACCGGTAAGCTTACATTCGGTCAACAACACTTCACTTTAATCTGATACAATAATCTAATATTTTTAGTGGTGTGTGAAAAATACTGCAGCTTCCTTGCAGTGTTGGAGGATTGTTAAACGTTAAGAACCCCGTAAACGATGCTAACTGCGATTGTATCCGTTATAAAACATTCTTCTTGTGATGTAATTTAACTTATTTGAATTGATATTTTAACTTAGGGTGCCTACGTATTTGCTAAATTAGAAATGAAAGTCCAAGTATTATTTTTTAATTTACTTTTACAGCTCAAGAAATTCTAAAAGTTGACCAAATAATGATCAAATCTATAACATCAATTGGAGTAATTGATATTATTGCTTGAATTTCTGAACAATGTTTTGTAAAGGAAAATTAATTCTTATTACGTTAGGATATTTTAAAGTTGATAAAAAAATATGGACTTGAGCTTAATTGACATTTAATAAGTATAGTATACCATATGTCAATTAAGGTGCCTACGTACCCCTTATATTGGGAATCAAAGTCCACGTAGTTCTTTTAAATTTCAATATTAGGCATTCATTTTTTAAGGTCGTGATTCATTGTGGATTTCAGTTCTAAGAAATTCGAAAAGTTTATCAATTAGAGTTGAAAGCAATAACATCAATTAAACCGTTTATGCCACGCACACATTCTCTCATTGTGGATGCTGTTTCTGACTCTCTCATACGCCTACAATACAACAATATAGAAATAGTATACACAAACAAACTTCAACAAACTTCAAGTATTGAAGAATTTGTATGTCGGCCTGTGTCATAACTGCTATATTATAGACGTATGCGAGAGTGAGAAGCAGGATCCACAATGGGAGAATGTGGACGTGGCATATTCGATGTAATTGATGTTATTGTTTAAATTTGTGAAAGATGTTTTATAACATTAACAATTGCCGTTGGCATCGGTTACGGGGTTCTTAAATGTTCAACAATCATCCAACATAGCAAGAAAGCTACAGTATTTTCCACACACACTAAAAATATTGGATTATTGTATCAAATTATTGATACAATAATCCAATATTTTTAGTGTGTGTGAAAAAGACTGCAACTTTCTTGCTATGTTGGAAGACTGTTGAGCATGTAAGAACCCTGTAAACGACGCCAACTGCGATTATCTCCGTTATAGAACATCCTTCTACTGATGTAATTTAACTTATTCTAATTGATATTTTAACTGAAGGATTAAGGTGCCTACGTATTAGTGGTGTGTCAAAAAATCCAAGTACTTTTTTGTTAATTTACTTACAGCTAAGAAATTCCAAAAATTGACCAAATAATGATCAAAGCAATAACATCAATTACGCCAATAATGCCACGGGCCACAGTCTCCCTTGTAGAACCTTCGTCGCACTCTCTCATACGGCTACAATACAGCAATGGAGACTGTGGCCGTGGCATAATTGGAATAATTGATATTATTGCCTCAATTTTTGAACAATGTTTTCTACAGGAAAATTAATTCTTGTTACGTTTAGATATTTTAAAATTGATATATAGAAAAAAAAAAAATGGACTTGAGCTTAATTGACATTTATTAAGTTAAAATATCATATTTATTGAACTTTTTTTTTTTATTTTAGAAAAAAATTATATTTTAACTTATAAATGTCAATTAAGTTGCCTACTTATCCCTTATATTGGGAATCAAAGTCCACGTAGTTCTTACGATTTACTTACTTGTACACGAGCGGTTGTCTCTAATAGTCATACTCGTCATCTCCTATTCCGGTTCCACCACTCGTCGTACTCGTAAAATCGGATGCGTCATCATCGTCGTCTGCTTCGTCATCTACGTACATAGCCGTTTGCATCCTTCGTTCGACCTTTTTCCAATCCATCAGCAACATTTGTGCTTGTAGATTTTCGGGCGTCAGTCTCGATTGTCATGCGTCGAGCATATAACCTCCCTCGCTGAAGGCTTGTTCGACTGCAACTGTAGATGCTGGGACGGCGAAAATATCTTTGGCCATCAAGCAAGGAATAGGATATATGCCTTGCATTCTCGACCACCAGTCCAAGACATCGAAATTGAGTGGCGGACTTGGTTCACGAGCAATCGTAAGTATCAAATTCGACGTTAGGTAGTGATCAAGCTCATAGTATCCAGTTCCCTTTGCCCTTTCAACGCCAACATTCTTGTAGGGATTTAATGATGCCCACCACTCCTGAAAGTGGGAAGCGCCTACTTGACTACCGCCGTAAGAAGAAGACCCGCTGCTGCTGCCCCCGCCATCACGAACAAATGTGCTGGGAGGTTCACCTTGTGCAATCGCTGTTTCCCTAAACATGTCATACAACAAATTTTTTGCTTGCTCGACGAGCAGCAGTACGTTAGGTTTTTGACTGTATGTTGGGACATCATACGGGATTGGGAGTTCATACATATAATTATAATATATGTTAAGCTGCTCTACCAAGCGAGCTTCACGTACCGAAGGATCTAACAAACATGCAACTAAATGTGTATCAGGAATGAAATAATAATATTTTAACCATTTCTTTAACATTTCCTCAGCTAAATAGCCATATTTATTAAAATTCAAATTGTAAAGATTCTTGAAAGCCCACATTATGGCTATAGCTTGACCTAACACAAGCTGAGCAGTAGGATAATAAACACCTGAAAGCATGTTAGTAGGATTTTGAAATGTTTCTAAAAATTGAATAAGTGCATTACAGTTCTCCCAATCTCTTGTTGACACTCGGACATCACAGTCCTTACGGTTTGAATGGTTAAAAAAATTCTGCAATTGTGTCATAAACAGAACCGTTCCACCGGTTAGGAACGTTGGGTTGAAATTTTTTAGGTTTCACCCCTTGATCTTTACAAAAACGTCCCCATGCTTTCATTTCATGGGGACGTTTATGTAAATAATTAACAGCGTCCCTAATTGGCGTGACCGAATCTTTAAAAGCATGATAACCAGCTTGTACACAGAGATTTAAGACATGACATATACAACGAATATGAAAAAATCTTCCGCCGCAAATTGGAGTGAAAATATCGGTAAGTTCACGTATAGATGCAGTATTTGCAGTAGCATTATCAAACGAAATAGAAAACACTTTTTTACCTATTTGATATTTATCCAAAATTTTTGAAATTAAACGAGCAATATTAGAAGCAATGTGTCGTTCATGAAATGCAACATAAGCAATTAAACGTTTTTGTAAACTCTAATTTTCATCTATTCAATGACAAGTAATTCTCAAATAGAAATTATTTTGCCAATGATCAGACCAGATATCAGCACAAATAGATACTCTATGATTTAAAGATTTAAAAGTTTCTTGCAAAATTACTTTTTTTCCGCCACTATTTTTCGAATATCGCGAGTAAGAGTAGTACGTGGAACCCGGTGGCAACCGGATTCAAAGCCATTTAGCAAAATGTTCATATAAATCACTATCACCAAAGCTAAACGGAAGAGATGAAGTAGAAACAAATTCAGCTAAATGGCGTCGATAATTTTCATGTGAGTACTGAAATAAAGATGGCGTACCTGTACCAATCGTGGCAGATGCAGCGCTACTACTCGGGAGTTGCGTCTGTGCCCTGTCAATTCCCAATTTTGTCGGATGAGCCCTCTCTAAGTGTCGTTTCAACGATCCGTACCCGTCGCCTTTTTTGAAATGGTACTGCTTCTTATCGTTCGCCGGGCAGTAGTTGCAAACAGCTAAAAAGTGATTCTCACCTCTTGTCGGATTGGCCACCTTCGTGTAATGTTGTTTGAATATGGCAGATGCCGGTCTGGCACGGGCGAAGGCAGAGGCCAGGTGGCCCGGGTCTGGGACCTCCGGGTCTGGCTGTTGCTGTTGCGTCGGTTGTTGAACCTCCGGCGGGGACTCTCCAAATATATCACCGAAATGGTCGTGATACGGCTGCTGTTGCTCTTGTTGCTCAGGCTGAATTGAGCCAAACATGCGCTCGATCGTCGCCTCATCAATGTCATCGGCAACACCGGGAATATCCACATGTATCGATGGACTCGCAATTTCAGGCAATGTAGGTCTCGACAAAGATGGGCCGGTGCCGATATTTCTACGTTTCTGTCCGAAATTCGAACCACGACCACCACGAGAGCTCGACATTTTTTAATTTAAAGAGTAAAAAATAAATTGGGAAAAATTATATAAAATATGATGAAGAAAAAAATAAATTGGGAGAAAAAAATAAATTATATAATATGTGGTATTTTTTTCGGATTTTTTTTTTTTACAAACCAAATACGAAACTAAAAATGATTAGCCGAGCAATGAAAATCGAACACTAAAACTTAGAGA